AAGTCCATTTAAAAATAAAATAAGGAAAAAATGGATTTATTTTTTTACAAAATTTACTTCTGGATACTATCTTATGATCATAAACAAGCTTCTGTCCAAGTTTGGTACAAACCCAGGATAGTTTAAGAAAGTTATTAAAATTTTAAAAACTTTAACCACAGAGTGAATGTAATATTTCCAAGCAGAAAAACTAAGTCCATTTATAAGTAAAATACGGAAAAAATGGAATTTTATTTTTAAAAAAATTACTTCTGGATACTATCTTATGATCATAAACAAGCTTCTGTCCAAGTTTGGTAGAAATCCAGGATAGTTTACGAAAGTTATTAAAATTTCAAAAACTTTAACCACAGAGTGAATATTTGTGGACGCCGCCGACGACAACGACGACGACGACGACGACGCCGACGGAATGTAGGATCGCTATGTCTCGCTTTTTCGACTAAAGTCGAAGGCTCGACAAAAAATTAGGCGGAAGAAAAAAAAAATAATCAGAACAAAATCAATAGGTCTTTCCACGGAAAAGTGGAAAGACCTAATAATCAGAACAAAATCTATAGGTCTTTCCAGGGAAAAGTGGAAAGACCTAATAATAACGGTTTCAATTCATCACTTTTACTAGCGCTTTCACTGCTTTCGCATATTTTCAGGTAATGTGACTTGTATACATAAGTGTTATAAAACAGTTGATTGACGTTAACAATAGTATGACGTTAACAAATACAAGGGAGACTACTAATGTGATTTTAAAATGTGAGTAAATTCTTTAAAATGTTACGTAAAAATTAATCATTTAATCCCGGGTTGAGAATGTTTATGAATAATTTTTCTTTCTTCTTCTTGAGAAAATCATTTTGACGATTGACCATATACAACGGAAATATTTAAAATCGTTCATTAGAACAACAATGGAAATGGTCGTTAGACCGGATGATTGTTAAATCTTCATGGTTGGTTTGCTGTCTATGTACATTCTAGTTCGCAGTTCCTTTTTTTGTCTCTCCAATATAGAATTCCTCACAGTTTGAACAAATGAGAGAATAAATGACGTTTGAACTTTTACAAGACATATTTTGTTTAACTGTGAAATGCTTTCCATTTTTGAAATAAATTGAAATTTCTTCTCTGGACATGTCATACACCGTTTATTGGTACATTTTGTAACAATAGGCAAAGTTTCATTAAAGTGGAATTTTGAAGATGTTAAATATCGTTTTAGACTTTTTGACTGTCTTTTACTGTTGATAATCTTCTTTTTTTTTGAAAGACTTTGTCCATTTTTTCACTTTTGTGTAAATTATTTTCAATTTGTCGCATGAAGGTAATATATCATAATCTCGTGGATTATATGTTGTGACAAACGGGATAATTTTGTCTAAATTGTTTGATGATTCTTCGGTTGTTTCGGATCGCCGCGATTCTGTAATGATTGGTCCTTTTAGCAGTGCCTTTTGAATTCCGTAATCTATCACTTGTTCCGGATATTGCTGCTTTTTTAAATACACTTTTAATTCTTCCAATATTTTATTGCGTAATAGTTCTGTACTTGTAATGGTAATTATTCTTGACGCTATATTAAAAGGTTTATTTAATTTTACATGTTTTGGATGGTTTGAGTAAAAATTTAAATACATACGTTTATCGGTGTCTTTAGAGAAGATATCTGTGACCGTTTCATTGTCTTACGTTATAAGTACTAAAATATCCAAAAACGGCATTTTGTTCACATTTCTGTTAATTGTGAAACGAATATGTGGATTTAAAGAATTTAAATCAGAATGAAAATCTGAGACAGATATATCCGAATTCCAAATTATAATATAATCGTCAAGAAATCGTTCCCAGTTTTGACGTATGTAAATGGCAAATTCATTTCCGTATTTATGGTCCATTTTCTCGTATAATAATTGTTCCAAATAATCAAGTACTAAAGTGGTGTATGAAGGCGTCATTTTAGTACCCATAGCTGTTCCTTTTTTCTGATGATAGTATGTGCCGTTAAAGTAAAAAATATTTCTTTTTAATATAAGTTTCAAAGATGCAAGGATAAAATCCTTTGTTAATCTGTTTTCAATGACGTTTTCCGTATTTTCTAACCAATATTTTACGGTTGTAATTCCTAAGTCATGTGGGATATTTGTGTAGAGACTGACAATATCAAAATTAATGAGTTCTGAATTAGGATTTACAGTTGTTGGTAGATGATTTAAAAATTCCAAATAGTCTTGTATAAAACTGGGAACTTCACGACATAAAAGTTTAATGACAATGTCTATAAAATGGCTTAAATTTTGTGTGACGCTGTTGATTTCGCCCACAATAGGTCGAAATTTTAAATCATTTGGTCTTAAAAGTTCGATGTATTCACTGTTCTGTTCTGATACCGCATTTGAAATTTCCTCACTTTAGTGAATTTTAGGTCACCCATAGAAATAGCTTTCTGAAAATTTAGAGTTTGAAATGTAATCCAACTCTTCTTTATACAATTCAGTCTTACATGTATGTTTATTTAGTAATTTTTTAATCATTACAATTAATATTCTCAATAAATGTATGCCGTCTTGCTAATTTTAAACAACTAAGAATTTAGGACATACCTTTTCCTATAATTTTGAATTCTTTGAATGCATAAATGAGACACGACATTTGTTTCGATAAAAATACAAGTATCTTTAAGAGGACCAGTCAGATAAATGTCTTTTTCTTTGTAAGGGCCAGTTATCTAATGTGACAGTGTGGGATATATTATCATTATTATGAAATACCATATCAGAAACAATACTACAGACATCTATCATAAAAGTTCAAATAGGTCGTCAGACACAGACATGTTTGCATATTAGATTAAAAATATTTCACGTCATTGATTGAAGGCTGGGGAAATAATGTTTACATGTACCGAAAATTTAATTAATGTTGAAGTGCTATATCGAAGTATTTGTGAAGAAGCGATACCCATTTACTTGCCTCTATTTTTACTAAACGTTCAAATTGGGAATTATTTTTACCACATGAATGGATATTTATTTCATAATCTAAGCCAAAAGTTAAAAATATTTCATAATCTAAGCCAAACGTTAAAAAAAATTAATTACTTTACATATATATAAATAAATGCGTTCGTAAATTAAAACGTCTCCATCGAAAACTTCATATGTCGAAATACAAAAAGAGCCAAAGCACAGTTATTTCAAAGAATCTATAAAAATAACTTTACAGTGTGTTTTCTTTCATGATATACTTGATAAATATACAAAAAGAATATTTTAGACTAGGTTACTCAATAAACCTAGCTGGCTACCACATAAGCCTAGCTTGAAATCTCTTGGCTAGGCTATAATGAAGATCACGAACTTAAACAAATAAAAACGTTTTATCGCATCCAGACGGCACAAGACCAAAATTCCAGACATACAATGTACATAAGAAAAGAATGGACCATAAATAAATTGATTTAAAGCAAACCTTATTTATTCACCGGAAGACATTAAGCAAACAAATGTAGATAAAATCAAAGGAATTTCTGTGTCATTTGGTCTCTTGTGGAGAGTTGTCTCATTGGCAATCATACCACATCTTCTTTTTTATATCATTGTTGTGTATCAAACAGCGTACTGTGTATGTTTACTAATCCATTAAATTACTTTTTTCACATATAAAGTATATTTAGTTTGTGGGCGATATACTTATCAATACCAGTTTTTAAAGAAAACTCCCGTGTGATATTTCGCAATAAGCAATATATGTTATGGAGGACCAAGTTTCCATTTGATTTAGGACAATTGGTGAAGTATAGTATGAAAAAAATGTTCGTGTGTGCTTCCGCGAGTGAGTGAGTGAGGGTGCGTTTCAAAACTCTACACAGCATTATTGTTTTCTTTTAAATGCCAGGTTTGTATGTATTTCAAACGACTTGAAATCTTTCAATAATTAGTTGTACATACTTTTTGAATGTTCCCTTATAGCATTACAGCCGATTTCGAAATAAGATAGTATATCCATTAACCGATCGTATATTTTTTCAGCTCAACCCCTGTAAACTATTGTCATTACTTTCAGCTAGCTTTGCAAGTCCGTCCAGTTTTTTTCGATTTTTTTCTGAAATCGTCGGACTAATTGTAATACTATTTGACGTGTCTTGTCTGAAGTTTACTGACAAACATGGCGGTCTTTACGTAAAAAAGACGTATTGAGTAAAACTAATAAAACGGTAATTCTAACGGAGTTACCATTTGATTTTTAGGGGGGAGGGGATTGGGGCTAGGATGAAACTTGAAAAAAAAGGCAGGACAGGAGTTTTGAGTAAAAAAAAAGGCAGGATGAGCAACAAGGCAAAAAGCAAAAGGCAGGATGACAATTTATGTAAAAAAAGTCATGATAAACTAATTAAAAAAAGGCAGGACCGAATAGAGTGAAAAATAAAAAGACAGAGATTACAACTAAAAAAAAAAAGGCAGGACACAATTTTTCAAACCGCGCAGAGTTTTTCAGCGTTCGTTATGATTTCGTCTACATAAGGAAAATCCAAATGTTGTGACAGATAATTACATGCAAATGTTCGGCTGGTTTATAGTAAGAGGAAGTTATATATTTTCTGTAGATTACTTATCTCCTTGCAGATATTCAACAGGTACATAATTGTTTATTGTTTAATTTGACTGTAACCAAGAGATATACCAGGAAAGAAATAAGTGAGCACAAAATACACTATTTTTTTCTTAAATTTTTTAACAAATTTATAATGGCAAATTTCGGATAAAAACAAGTTCCAATCTTCTTGGCCTATTTCTATCACAATTACAGACATTGCATGGATTTCATGAAAGATATTGTGCCAATGTATTTGGTATTTGATTGTCATGGAATTCACAGATTTTTATTTCGCTTTCAGTCTTCCTAACAGATGAAATATTAAATAATCATAAAGAAAGGGAATATCATTATCTTACATATACGCAGATCACAAATAATATAGTCGCCCTTGGTGTTCCATACTTTAATCAGGTGTGTATGTATTGATCATTTACCTGGTTCACAATTTTATCATTCTGGTAACGGGTATGTAAGTATAATATGTTAGTTAAACAATTTTACTGTATGATCAGCAGAAACAAAACCCCATTTTGTATTTTTTTTCAGTTATTTCATTGTTTTAAGATTCTACAATGAAAATTAAAGCAACGTGAAAGTATTTGATTTGATCAAAATGCAGCCAAATTCGTGTCTCAAACTCAAATTTGATTTATAAAATACTACAAAATTACAAAAATCACACAGGAAACAATGCACTATATAGCAGAAAGTATCAACATTTTGGGATCGGTGTCATCTAAATATACCCATGACACGACCTTCACGGATTGGTGATTGGCTAGTGACCGAGGGTTAAATATGTTATAGATAAATATATACAGATAAATACGGCTTTCTGTTCGATTTCATATCAGAGATATTAAAAAAAAAATAACATATATTATCGATTAAGTTGCTGTTTGATTTAATACATACTTTTATATGGTCAAATCAAAGACAATAGATCGAGGAGAAATAATAAAATTTCTTGAATTTCGATGTTGACCAATACATAGATACGGTTTGATAAAGGAAAGAAAACTATATACCAAATCGATAGCGTATTTTGTTTTTAGAATAATATTTCCTTACAATTAAAGACTCGATCGACAACAGCTTCCATAGTGTACATGTATTAATTAACTGTGAATCGCAAATGTACCATATTTAAGGCGTCCAGTACGGTAAAAGCGTTTATTGGGATGTTCAAATCTTGTTAAAAAGGTTGATTATAATCTTTAAATTGTTTTGGTTTTCTTCTTCTTCTTCCGGTAAGGAGTTGACCTCATACTTGAGTGATTTACTAACTCCGCTCGGTAAAACAGGAGGCTTCTCCATTGAATAAAAGTAAATATTAACCAAATAATTAAAACTATTTAAACTGTAAAAATTGGCAACCTTCATATGTTTGCCACGCATTAAATTCAAATGCAATTGCAAATCTGGTTTTTCTCTGGAAGTCATCTTTTCTTGTTGTTTATTTTGAATAACACGTACAACTGGTTAGCATACATTCACTACAAACCAGTAAAAGTCTGGCCTATATCTGTACTCGACTGTACTGATTTTTACTCGACCAGTCTGAATTGGTCTGAAATTTACTTGGTAATACTCGACTGTAGTCTGAACCATACGTTTCAGTCTGAACTTTTACTCGATCCTTACTCGACCAGTACTTAACCATTTTATACGCGTCTGAACCATGCTCGAACTAGTCTGAACCATGCTCGACCTAGTCTGAACCATACTTGACCTTGTCTGAACCATACTCGACCTAGTCTGAACCATACTCGACTAAGTCTTAACCAACCTAGACCTGTTTTTTGTATCTATCTATTGTATTTCATCAATTTAGGGACTGTTTTTAACAACAGCTATTTCCCCTGGCTAGAAATTTGAACAACAATTTGAATTTAAAAATGTATTCAATATAGCATTGAAACCAAAATTTCACAATAAACATAATATAACTTCATCACCATATTCAACACTTATATACATACATTTAATCAAAGAATCAAGTTTCAGGCAAAAACATAACAAACAAATAATTAATGTGGAAATAACAGCCACAGTTCACTTTGAATGACGAGGTCTGACATGATAACAGAATGCCGACATGATTGATTTAACTGACAAATCTGTGCACCATTGGTAGCAATGGATGCTCAAGTTCCTCAAGGTTCATCCTAAAGAGAACGAGGGTTATGCTCCCCAAATACGTCGGGTCTTATTCGCATCACCCCCTGGTTTCAGGGGAGTAAAGATTAACAGTTTCTATATCATAAAACTCTATATGCACGCTGAATACATAGTCCATACTATGTATCATAAAACAGTCAAGCTCGAACTGGTACCAATTCAGAACCGGCCACTCAGGGTAGACATGAGATGGTCTCAACAGAACTTCCTGCGGTACCGCAGGAAAGTAAAAACCTAATATGATCCGACGTACAATTACGGGAAACGATCATAACCCCTTAATCTTGCCACTTGAGTGTGTCTATACACACTCATCAGAATCCCCCCCCCCTTTTCCACAACCTAAAAGTCCATTTAAGTGAACTAGTTAAGAAGGCATTACTCTTTGTTAATACGTTTGAAACTTGGACAATAATATTTTTCCTTTTGTAATAGCTTTGTTATAATGGGGCTGTTATCCTTCCATGATATCCCCTCAGCAAAATTTGTTTTGGACGATATCACTTCTCTTGTTGTATTATCCATGTTATATATATATTTAATATCATCATAAAAACGCAATATTTTAGCAGTAATACATCCATTGATAAACCGATCATGAATTATCAATAGGTTTACTAAAAGAGTTATCTCGCCTTAACCGGCTTAGTTGAACAAATTTATTCTAAAACACATATGTTTGGTACTTGTTAAAATATTTTTAATAATGCGATAAATCAGGAAGTTTTCTTCATAGAGATAAACAGTCTAATCAATAACATTGAACATCTGTCTACAATTCGGAGATTTGGGTAACAACTAGACTGATTGTTCACTGCAAAAGTACAATCCAAGATGGTGGTATAATACCATGAATCTACCTAATTGCTTTGTTAATCTGCAATATGCACTATTAGTTTTGCAAATCTATGTTCCTCTTCAAAGTTTACGAAAATGCATTACCTGTATATATAATTCATGCTATTCTAGGCACCCCTTCGAAGTCGTGTACATTTGTATATATTTAATTTTTATTTTCAACAAGTTTCGTGACCAATATTTTAAAACCATGGGTGTATAACGTACACTTTAAAAATTAATTTATTCGTATCAATCAATATATAGAAAGTACCACACTTCCTGTACTAAATCGGCAACCACATGCATTCCTACTAGTACTTAAAATTCGGACACAGCTAAGCAGTCCGTGCAGCTTTTTGGAAAGTTCAAACTTGAATAGTTTTACGTCGAATATATTTTGTGACCTAAAAGAACTAGGTGCTAGAGTGAAATTCCATGTATTACTCTAAGTAATGGGTGTATATAGATGCATAGTTGATTAATTCCGACTAGAATTAAAAAGAATGAGTCCATCAGCTCTGTGAATAGATAGGAATGCTAAATGTTCCTTTTAATAGAAGGAAATAGATCAAGAGTATTTGAAATAAATTTAAAAATTCATTGAGGCTCCCATCTGGATAATATACGTGTTTGTCTGTAAAAGTCCGTAACTTATATACCACATATTTGTTTTGTTTCTAAAAATAGTTGTGGGAAAGCCAATAGTTCGTGCTGACATGTAAAAGAAATGTGATAGTAAAATACAAAGGTATCCTCAATGTTCACATATCCGTGTTAGATGATGATGACAATCAAAAATATTATAAACGATACATGTAATATATATACAATAACATTATCGCACTTCAAAGAAAAGAGGATATTGTGTACCATGCTCTGTCTGCTGCTTCGTGAGTTTATAAAGTAATTTAATAATTGTGTCAAAAGTGCACATAATTCCCTTATTTGCTCTAAGTTGACTTGTTGATAAATTAATTGACCTGTCCATAGTTGCCCATTAACTACTAGTTTGAAGAAGACGTAGTTTATCTTCGTGAACTGATTAAAGTGTGAATTTTGGCAAGGTAAATTCTGATCGTATTAAATTCACTCGTAGCATGTTATGCTGTTGTTCTGGAAGTCCAGTGTCTGTTGTGTATATATATACTATCAAGAACAACGGTAAATGAGTTTTAGGGAGCTATCTGAATAACCTATACCAATAGTAATAACATATCATATGTTGAGGTCTTTTTTGAAAATATCAACTCAGCTTTGCTTGTATAACTATATTAACTCTATTTGCGTAAGTAAGAAAAGTTAGGGTCGGGCATGATACATGTATGTATGATTCAACAACGTAAACATGAGCTCTGTAGATCTCTCAACTGACTTGTCAATGATATTTAATATAACTAGAGGCTCTAAAGAGCCTGTGTCGCTCACCTTGGTCTATGTGCATATTAAACAATGGACACAGATGGATTCATGACAAAATTGTGTTTTGGTGATGGTGATGTGTTTGTAGATCTTACTTTACTGAACATTCTTGCTCCTTACTATTATCTCTATCTATAATGAACTTGGCCCAGTAGTTACAGTGGAAAATATTTTGTAAAAATTTACCAAAATTTACAAAATTTATGAAAATTGTAAAAAATTGACTATAAAGGGCAATAACTCCTTAAGGGGTCAATTGACAATTTTGGTCATGTTGACTTATTTGTAGATCTAACTTTGCTGTACATTATTGCTGTTTACAGTTTATCTCTATCTATAATAATATTCAAGATAATAACCAAAAGCTGCAAAATTTTCTTAAAATTACCAATTCAGGGGCAGCAACCCAACAACATGTTGCCTGATTGGTCTGAAAATTTCAGGGCTGATAGATCTCGACCTAATGAACAATTTTATACCATCAGATTTGCTCTAAATGCTTTGGTTACAGAGATATGAGCCAAAACCTGCATTTTACCCTATGTATTATTTTTTTGCCATGTCGGCCACCTTGGTTTGCGGGCAGGGTCATCGGACACATTTTTTAAACTAGATACCCTAATGATGATTGTGGACAACTTTGGTTAAATTTGTCTTAGTAGTTTCAGAGGAGAAGATTTTTGTAAAAGATTACAAAAATTTACCGAAAAATGGTTAAAAATTGACTATAAAGGGCAATAACTCCTTAAGGGGTCAACTGACCATTTTGGTCAAGTTGACTTATTTGTAGATCATACTTTGCTGAACATTATTGCTGTTTACAGTTTATCTCTATCTATAATAATATTCAAGATAATAACCAAAAACGGCAAAATTCCCTTAAAATTACCAATTCAGGGGCAGCAACCCCACAACGGGTTGTCCGATTCATCTGAAAATTTCAGGGCAGATAGATCTTGACCTGATAAACAATTTTATCCCATGTCAGATTTGCTCTAAATGCTTTGGTTTCAGAGATATAAGCCAAAATCTACATTTTACCCCTATGTTCTATTTTTAGCCATGGCGGCCATCTTGGTTGGTTGGCGGGGTCATCGGACACATTTTTTAAACTAGATACCCCAATGATGATTGTGGCCAAGTTTGGTCAAATTTGGCCCAGTAGTTTCAGAGGAGAAGATTTTTGTAAAAGTTTACGGACGACGGACGCAGGACGACGGACGCAAAGTGATGAGAAAAGCTCACTTGACCTTTCAGGTCAGGTGAGCTAAAAATCAAATATCAAATTATAAGCATATTATACAACAAGAACACATGCATATAAATGTAAATAGCTAGGCAAACATGTATAAATTAAAGCAAGCAAGCTAACAAGAAAAGAAACGCAAATTGAAAAGTATATATATATACATGTAACTGAGTAACTCACTCATGTAAAAAAGAATTGGTATGATTGCCAATGAGACAACTCTTCACAGTAGATCAAATGGCAAAGAAATCAATAACAATAAGTCATCGTACTGCCTTCAACAATGAGCAGGGCCCATACCGCATTAATAACAATAAGTCATTTTACTGCCTTCAACAATGAGCAGAGCCCATGCCGCATTAATAACAATAAGTCATTTTACTGCCTTCAACAATGAGCAGGGCCCATACCGCATTAGTGAGTAATTAAAAAACCCCAAAAGAAAAATGTTAAATAAGTCAAACGAGAAAACTGTAGGCATAAATTATGTACATTTTATTTATAGTAATGCCGATTTAAGTGTATCAAACAGTATTCGATTAGGAAATATTTAAGACTGTTCAAAGAATTTGCACGTGTAAATACTTTAATCGAAGCCATCGACTCTGATTGGATTTATTCTAACGCTATAGCGTCATCCGCCACAAAATTTGTCATTTGTCTTCTAAATCTCATATAGTGTATTTCATTTACCACGTCAGCTGAACCATCTAACACATAGTGTATAATTGTGTATAAGTGGTATAATGTTATTAATAGATAAAGGTTGACGAATTTGCACTTATTGCCCTCGTGTGTATCTTGTGTGTAATAGCGCTAGGTGCGTCTTTCAAACGACTGCATGGTGATATAACATATTGTACATTAAAGCAGAGACATGTAAAACTTACATATTATGTCTCTGATTAAAGTCTCAGTGCGATCATATTGCTCATGTGAAATTCAAATTAAATATATGACATCAAATAATAATAATAAATATAAAATAATCCTTTCAGTAATCTTATGTTTATCACTATCAGATTAATCTTATTCGTTATGAGATAAATATCAATTAGAATAATTATACGACGCAAAACATCAACTTTTTTATAAATTCAACATACCAATTTTAATGTTTGACGAAATCTGCAAACCGCTGGAACCAGGTTATGAATTCTTTGGATCAGTGGTTCTCCTATTCTTTTGAATCGTGTTTTCCTTGTGCATGTTGTGCCGTGTGGAATTATAAATGGGGGCTCCTGGTGTTAAGATTTTGTTCTGCCATTAAATTGATCACCGGTCCATGAGCCACTGACAAATTGGAAGCTGTCCCTGTCATTGGTGCATTGTATAATTTTTATGGCGAAGATACATTAATTAAATTGTTCTATGATCTTTACACATCCATACATGTCGAAAGAAACTGGAGGTGTTCCTCGTGTTGATGGCATCGGATCGTATGGTGACAGTTCGGTTTACCTTTTAATTTCGTCATTTGCTGGCCCTTGCAAATGAAAATCCTTTCTTTTAGAATTACCTTGTCTCTTCGATAGTTTCATATCAAAATATTGTAACATGACATGCGGATGTCAATGATTTTTTACGATTGCATTTTTGAAACTTTTACATATCTACAAGAGTGGCTAGTTCAATGTAATGCTGAAGAGTCATGTGACGTTGATTATCGGGAAACGAGAACCGGATCCGAATGACGCAGTAATCATTTCTCTTTCATTAAATTGGTTTATCTTATAAATGAGATAAACCGTAATATATCCCCTTTAAAATAAAAGTAAAACAAGCTGATCAAATAATCTCAAAACTGAATTGCGACTAAAATTTTTTTGAATGTTTCAGATATATTTTATGGTTACTGGACAATTTTCACAATTAAATTAAGCCTCGTATAGATTTATGGTGTCTGTTGAGTTTAGTTAATAATGCAGTGAACATTTTTTTTATTAAAATATATATATAAAATAGCATATAAACATGATAAAGCAACTTAATAAATTTTAAAAATGACACCTTTGTTTTGTTAAACCAAGAATTTAATATAATCATGATAATAGAACTTCCATAGTAATCCTGTGATACACTTTTAAAAAAGGAAATGTGTTCCAAAGTTACAGTAAAAATTTATTTCAATTAAATCTAAATACTTTTTGTCAAAATTAAAGACATGGCATACAAGAAGCACTTTGATAAGGTTTAATTACCTCAGTACATGTGTGTTTTACAGGTAAAAAGAAAGCCCTATTTTTCTTAAACTGGTGTACATGTATTACTTATCTAGTGAATTCAAAAGGCCTTGCGATTTAAGTTTCACAGGATGTTGCAATTTTGAATGAATGTTATTTAGAATTTAATACTCTCTGACCAGGTGTGATCTTTTTCATGAGTTTGCCCCAAGCAGGAGGTATTACTTTATACTTCACCACTAATCAGAAGAACAATTTTATTAATTTCTTTAATTTTTATCCCTTTTTGATATATATTGTATATAATATATCCCAAATTATAATAATAGATATATTTCTAAAATAAGGTTAAAAATTTCAGTGATTTTGTTGGCTGTTGTTACCTCATTAAAAAGATAATTATATACGGTAAACGGACAGAAAGTCACAGGACAAAAAGCCACAGGACATAAAGTCACAAATTTGATAGGACAAAAAGTGACAGGACAAAAAGTCACAAATAGTTTGTTGACAACTGTTTGAATATATAAGAGAAAGATCTTGAAATATTTTCTTTTTATTACATATATTCATTTTTAAGTTTGGGAAATTGTTCATAAGCCTTGATAAATGAAAATTTATTAAATTTTAATCGTGCAAAGGATATATTTCTTGGCACCATGAAGCCATTTAAAGATCAAGCCTCTTTGACATTTTGTTTTCATGGCAATTATTTGATCATTATTAATATTTATTACATAAATTTTAATTACAAAGTTGCTTTATAAATAATAGTTTAAGAAAAAAACCAAAATATTTCTTTTTAAATTAGTTTTTTCTTGTTCAAAGAAAAATAATCTCAAAACTGAATTGTGACTTTTTGTCCTGTGACTTTTTGTCCGTGACTTTTTGTCCTGTGACTTTTTGTCCGTGACTTTTTGTCCTGTGACTTTCTGTCCTACATTCTTATATAACTATTGTACATTTTTTGTATGTAACCATGAAACCTATGTAGTTTTTATTTAGGAATTTAGGAAAATTAATTTAAAAAAAAAACACATGCCAAACAAGAAGCACCTTAATAAGGTTTAATTACCCTCAGTATAGGTGTGGTTTATAGGTAAAAGAAAATCTTTTTCAACAAAACTCTAAAACTTTCAAATTTATATAATTAAATTATTATATAAGATAATTTGATTTAACTATCTCTATTCGATAAATCTGAGAATCATGTAAGAATGTAAAAATCTGTTTTTATAATATATCTTTAATTTATTGTGGCTGTTGTCATGTCAGTTAAAAAGAAATTTATTTTAACAGTTAAAATTTAGAAAAAGTAGAGGTTATTTGGTCAAGTATGGTTCAAACTGGTCTAGTATTGTTCAGACTTTTAGTCGAGTATGGTTTAGACTGAAAAAAATAGGTCGAGTACAGGTCGAGAATGGGTTAAGACTGTTTCAGACTGGTCGAGTAATTATAGTTCAGACTATTTTCAATGGCAAAGATAAGGGTCAAGTACAAATCAGTACAGTCGAGTATGGTTAAGACTGGGGTCGAGTAAAGTCGAGTAAAATTCAGACCAATTCAGAATGGTCGAGTAAAAATCAGTAGTTGAGTACAGATATAGGCCATTTCAGACTTTTACTGGTTTGTAGTGATTAAGCTTAGGATTCTACACGTTTGAACAAAAGTAGACATAAAAATGATAAAAAAACACTTGTAGTAAATAAATTTGATAGAGACAATCATAGATATATCATAACACATTTGCTCCTGGTAAAAACATTAATGCAACACTAGAGACAACCACAAACGAAGTTCTTGACTAAGGACAGGCTCAATAAAATCTCAGTCCGTAGTTCTCTTGCCCGGATAAATCATAAAAGGAGTAAACATTTAGACTACTGCAAAAAAGATGGAGCAGATGTGATGGTGGCAGTCAAAAACCCAAAAGGCATAGAGAAGTAAACAACACCATGGCCAAAAGGAAAAATAAGTCCACAAACATTACACATTTAGGATTGATTCTTACAAGCATCCTTCTTTATGTCATGGGAGACTATTATATAGTATATATGGTTTCCTTGTCTTAAGTTAGTTTTTATGCATGCAAAACCAGAATCTTAAGGTAATTTGGTCTAATCTGATTAAATATTTGCCTGATTGACTGGTCCTTGTTTAAGTAAGCTTTTTTTAACTACCAGTTGAACACGTGTCGTCTGAACTGAAATAGTCATTAAGAACTTTTGTTTGAACGAAAGAAAATCGTATTATATATTTTATGCGTCAACAATTTTATTCTATGTTTTGCGTCAACCTTTCCTTTACAGGCAGAGGAAGGTTTGAGGCAAACAAATCAAGACAGAAAATAATGCAAGAATTAATACTGGCGTGAGAAGTTAAAAATATATCTCGACTCGAAGCCTTATGTACAATTAATTATACAAACACATACCAAGAGTTACAGCACATTGACTTGAGTGTGTAGGTAAAGATAGTATCTTTGGTTAGCTTGCTTGCTAGCTGAACCATGAAATCATTATTAGCTAAGGTACTACCATACTTTGGATTGAGTCAATAGTTAGTATCGACGGCTGTACTACAGAGTGGAATTTATTATATACATATCTACGCTTAAAACACAACGAAATGACCGTCTTTGTGGTCGAAACACCGAATTTTTAAAAAATTTTTACAAATAATATATCTCGACTCGAAGCCTTATGTACAATTAATTATACAAACACAAACCAAGAGTTACAGCACATTGACTTGAGTGTGTAGGTAAAGATAATATCTTTGGTTAGCTTGCTTGCTATCTGAACCATGAAATCATTATTTATTCAATTAGCTAAGGTACTACCATCCTTTGGATTGAGTCAATAGTTAGTATCGACGGCTGTACTACAGAGTGGAATTTATTATATACATATCTACGCTTAAAACACAACGAAATGACCGTCTTTGTGGTCGAAACACCGAATTTTTTAACAAATTTGTACAAATAATATTTTACATAGGAGAACACTGAACGAATATTAACGAAAATAATATAAATTTTTAAGGGTTGCATTTTCAAAATGTGTTTAGAACAAGTTAAACATTGAGTTTCATGTCAGTGAGCAAGCGGTTCTTTGTTACATGAGTGTTTTATTTTCTATTTTACGTTTTAAAATTGTGTAGACATAAAAACGACAGGATTGAGTATTTAAAGCCACACCAATTTGATTAATAGTTCTTTGGATTTTCCCGCTCCTGTTTTGGAGAAATTGACTTTTCAATAAAAAAAAAATAATTACCGTTTCCGCAAATTTTTGGGCCGCATGCCGCTCCAAAATTAGTTTCTCCTTTAAATTTTTTTCTCTCATAGACGTTTTTCTTGTGCATATATTGCTCCTGTCGATCCAAACGCACGTGTGGTAAATCGATTTGTAAATAAAAGGTCAAAAATCGGAATGCCAACATGTAGTTGTGTCAGCTCATTGCCATGGATTAGTAGTTATTGAACTCACAGTTATCCGAAATGCATCTCGTTTATTATTGAAGACCAGTTCTAGGAGGCAAAAATTAAAAAGAACTTTCGTTAGATGACCACAATCACATCAATATTTTTACTCTGACGTCCATCGGCTGTTTTGCCAGACAAGCTGGTGCCGAGGGACCACGGCCCCAGCTTGTTTGGCAACACAGCCGTTGGACGTCAGAGTAATCTCGGACTATATTTGTTAGAACCATCATCATCTCCGATCATCGTTTCAACAGACATTGAAATATATCTATCTTTAATGAAATTAATATTAAATTCCCATGAACATTTAAAAATATCACAGAATTATCTTATTTTGATGAAACCCCTTATTCCCTTGTTAGTCTTTTGGCATGCAAGCAGATCTCTTTTGTAAGGGTAAATTTAAGAGTTCCAACATGGTGGTATTGGGATTGGCATGCTCATAATAATTTGTGATGTGTTATCAACCACTTCTAAGTTCTAGTCAAGTTAAAGAGTTTTAAATGCATTGCAGCTTTTAGGAGCAATAGGAAAGAGTATATTTTGCTAAGTCAGAATAATCCATGTGAATGTGGTGACAGGTATTTTAAAGGGATATATTTTAATACATTGAGACCTACATGCATATCAATATAACTATCTTACTCATCATGCTCATGATGTTGTTGAAATATTCACATCACTCATTATGTTGATCCTAAATAATGATAAATAGTTCCAACTGGATGTCAAGCAGCCAATAAACAATCATTACCATATAATGAAAACATCAAAAAATATTGTGCATGGGCATTTTTTGGGATACATACACATATTTTGATTTATTCAACATATGTCATTTATCCTACTTACATAATTCCTCTTGTTAAACTGCATCTGCAAAGCTTTCTTAATATATACACATGTATGGATTAAAATGAAAATTCACACAGATCAAGCTTATTTGACGAAAATAATCAACTGAACCACAGCGTGACTAGAAAGTCGGGAATGGTACAGGCACCAATACATCAAATTATATGCATTAGAGCATCTGTTTCTCCTTGTTTTTTCCATGAAGGAACCCAGTTTTAACATGTTCATAAATTCTGAATGGCAAAATTAAAAAATAATTATACCGCTCGCTTCACTTGTAGAGCACTCGCCTCACAAAAACTCATTTTCAAGAAATAAATACAATCAAAAATATTTCGCTCGCTCGCCCCATATTGTTTGGAGCTTTTGTCCGAAGAACTACAAATCAAATTGGTGTGGCCTAACAAACTTTTTTTTTACCCTGTCACATTTCTATGGCAATTCAGTAATAGTTTTTTTTATTGTTGCTGTTGGGTTTTTTTTTGTTTTTTGGTCGAGAAATCGTTGTTAGTTTCAGATAGTTGATCGCCTCGGTTGAATTTATAAACTTACGTAGTTGCGGGTGTTTAACGTCCAACACAACAACTGCATGCAATAAGTGGACAACAATGTACAAACAATTTGTTTAGACTTTTTAGATTGTAAAAATGTTGTTGGCGTACTGTAACCATATAGTGAATTCAAATTAATTCTTTATTAATTTGTACTGTTGAGTTGCTGTTCAATTTTAATTTGCATGTTATAAAAATTCGTATCGTTGAATTTTAGAAAGTTGCACACCAGATATTTCCAAAGGACAAATTTACCTTTACAGCAAATTGACTTACAAAAAGCAAGTAATTAGGGCTACAACCTTACTACAAAACCATACAGTGCTTGGTCATGTTTAAGGAGAAAATTGTCAGTTAAAACTCCTAGCTAAATGTTTTTCAAGAATGTTCTGTTTTGTTACTTTTAGATGATACGATGAAACTCCTAATCACAACTATATCTCTACTCCATATTCTTGTAGCAGTGTCTGGAAACAGTGAGGAAACATGTAAGATTTCTATGTTTTAAGTTCATGTACCATTATTCAGAGTTCACATTTTGCAGTTTGTTTCAGCTTTAAATGTTTATTCGACCGGAATACATTCGCTGTCAACATTATATTCGCGAGAGAATAAAAAAGACATTAAACAGTAGAAGTTGACGAGTTTTATGCGCCTTTCATCCAAAAATGTGAAACTGATAACATCACTTGTTTCATAAAGAGTAGCCTCATTTTGTCTCGATAACATTTCTGGGAAGAGAAACTCAAATGGTCAGCAACTACAAAAATACTTCTGCTTTAATTTATGTATAGAGGAGAAAAGTTAAAAGAAAATCATGTACATCGTATAGCTGTCTCTTTGTCATTCAGATACATTTGGAAAGGACTGTTCTGTGTCCCTTGAGCATGTAAATGAAGACAAAACATTCATTGCTGTATACAATGGACAACATGATTTAGACAGCTGGTGTGATTACATGTCGTTTAGTGGGAGAGATGATGGATATCTGAATGAATATGAGATCTGTATAACACCGGAGTTTTATGAGGACCCTGATTGTGCTGTAGAGTTAACTTACAGGGAGCATTATGATGGTACACCATTGAAGGTATTTGTTAAATAAAATCAAAACTCTGCCTGATTTCATTTATTATTAATTAACATTTCAGTAAAGTACAAACTTATTTTTGTATAATGCAGATGCTTTTATGTTTCAGTTTGTATAGTGATTTATGTATATATATGCTGATGTTTTATATAGTCGGCTTTTAGAGCTCTTTGGAGTTTATGTTACATTTTGTTTTGTATATATGTGCCAACTTGAAATATGTACGTACTTACTTATTTACAAACATATCTTGGTATCAAAGTCCAAACCCCCATACTATTCCTATTATACTTTCTCGTTCATATATACTCTAGATAGAGTCTTTTATTAGCATAGTAACTAAAACATATTTGACAATGACAAGCTACGTAGAATTTTAATAAAAGTATCAAAATATCATGAAATAAACCTCAACCTTAACCACTCTCATTCGAGTTCTAAAGAATTTTGCAACGATACTAATAAAAGATACATATATCTGGTATTGCTTGTGTCAATAACAAAATGGACTCGATGTTGCAGCAGTGTACACTTAAAAAGTATTTGTGTTTTAAGAATTGATTTTGTCATGTACCTATGTCTACTCCCATGTTTTCACAATTATTAACTAAAATTGACTGTATTGTGCTCGTTTATTATCTTCTCGTGTTTTTGTTGTTGGGTGGAGATCGTTGTTTGTTTCCTTTTTATTATTGATTTTTTATCTCTTTTTTAGACATATACATGTTCTGACAAACCGGAAACGAAATATTGTGGAGAACAAGATGAATACATGTATATTTATTTATCTCCTAAAAGACCCAATAATCTTCAGAATGTTCGTATAAAACTGAAAATTGAAGCTGTTAAGACCTACGATTGTAAGTTAAGTATACATATTCGAACATGATCTACACAGAGTAGTTTCCCTTTGTTGAAACGTTATTATAAACGTTGTCTTGTCTGATTGGATATACTGTAACCCTCATATAGTTTCTATAAATCAACACAGTTGTTACTGCTTCGGTACTGACATGACTTTAAGCATACCTTTCTTAAATTCTGCGTTCTAACTAAGGTTCGAACCATCTCAGGCAAAGTTTATCTTAGATGGATTTTGCGATTCTAATTTCGTTTTTGGTTCGTTTTGGTCCTCACGTATTTTAGTATTTATACATGTACATCCTTGGCTTTCAAAGTTTTAGGCTTGAGTTATCCTGATGAAGGTAAATAGAAAAGTGCCTCAGACACATCACATTTATAAAATGTTGTTTTCTTATTCTTTGCCATCTAATCAATTTAATTATTAAAAAGGAGATGTTGTATGATTTCTAATGAAACAACTTTCCACATAAATCCAAATAACGTGGATATAGGCAACTGAAAGTCACCATAAGGCCTTCAACAATGATCAAAATACATACCGTATAGTCAACTATAAAAAAAACCCGACATAAGATTTGAAACAATTTGAACGAGAAAACCAACGGCATGATTTATGACAAAACAACAAACGAAAAACAAATCCGACAGCCAGCAACCAACGACAACCACTGAATTACAGGCTACTGGATTAAAACAGACATAAATCATGTGGCGTTGTTAAATATATGTGTGAGCGCTGAACCCTCCCCTTGACCTGGGACATTGGTGCAATAGCAAAATAAAAGTAACAAAATGTAAAAGTCAGTTGGAAATGACTTGACCCAAGTTTATTAAATCACTTTGTCCAAGCTCATTGTTGACGTTTTGAAAATAGACTGAAAAGTGGTTGTCGCATAATAATCTCAGAACTTCACTTTATTTTCAACTAAACATGCATTTTTGTCACATATAATGAGAGGAGAATCACCATTATTGATATCATTGCTTCTAAGGTAAATATCATATAGTTTCTATAAATAAACTGACATTATTTCAGAAAAGGGGTTTCCAAATAATAACCGTGCAATCTTAAATGCGACAGAAATCAAACTTGCATATATGGTCACATATAATGAGAGGATGATCCGTATTGATTCGGAGGTCCATACATCAAGGTCACTAAAAAACTTTTTGACCAAGCTTTCCAAATTATGTGCCGTATTTTATTTCCTTATCATAGTAAGTGATCATTCTGTTAGTAAATGGTGTGTGCAGGTTTATTTTGATGTCTGTTACCTGTATAGATGACGGTCTAGGTAAGCAAAGAAGAGGACTTTACGCACGTAAGACTGATCATGTCATGCTATCTTGACCAAGTGTTTTTGTTGCAGTTGGTCTTTGTTTGTACGTCAGTATTTTGGTGGAGTTGTTGTTGTGGTTGGTGTTGTCTGTTGTACTGTCCAATATTTTTGGTAATTCCTGGTACCCTTTTCATATTTTACAACAAAAAAGTTAAAGAGGACCCGAACGTTTCCCAATGAAAACACCATAGACCTTACATGGAACCAAATTTGGATAGATCTTAACATATAAAAGGGGGTGGGGTTAGATACCTAATGATTTTAGCTCTATATATATGGCGTTATGGTATCGTGAGCTTGCTTACTAAGTTTCTTTTACTTTCAGAGTGCTGACATTTTGACATCATTATGAGGTAGAATTCGGAAGTTGAACAAATCGACGAAAAAATACTTATTTTTGGTATTCTTTTCCCAACAATAAGTTAACCAGCCTCCGCACTCCCTCCTAAAATTCCTCCCACCAACTACACAAAGCTACATTATGTTTTGATCGATAATCCAACACGTTTACGCAAGGTTCTAGACTGGTGACAGGAAAGTTTGGAATTATGTTTTATTACACATTGTATCGTGACAATAACGTGTAGATTATCAGATTATACCGTATATAGAACTGATCAGATTATACCACAATATAGAAATGAAAAGTAATAATTTAAACAAAAACTGTTTCAGACTATAAAACCATTGGAATTATAATAGGCTGTGTTATTGGTGGCATTTTGTTAATCTCTATTATCATTGGAGTGATTATATGTATCACATGTAGAGGACGAAGATCACCAGGACAAATCATGAACCCAGGAACTGGAGGTAAGATCAGTGTTATTTTATGATGAACCCTCTTTTCGTTTGGTTATATTAATAAACAAGGTAGTTACTCATGTATCAAATCGATGTGTAAATAGTTTTTTTAAATTTGATAAAAAGAGATTGTTAAAAGGACAACGTTTAAAGTATTGCAAAAACAATTCGCATGTCTTACCATATAAACCAAATAAGTTCTTGTTATAATTTACATTGACTCGAATTTTTTTTTCTTTCGGTCATTCAATATCATCGTAAATTCACTAGTAAACCAATTTTAATCTGAAACTGTCATTTTGATCTGAACAGCTCTTAAAAGACTGAACAATTATTACGTCATTTTCAATTTTTCAGTAATGTTTAGACTTGTCGACTACGATAAATTCAGAACTGTTCAGACAGTTCGCTTGTAAGTAATTCAGTTATGTTCAGTCTTATTTAAACTGTTCGGTATTTGCTATTTATCTGTACACATCAAACATCATACTGAATTGTCTGAAATGATGCTGAACAGTACTAAATTGACTGCAGGCAAACTGTCTGAACAGTACTGAATTTATCGCAGTGGATAAGTCTGAAAATTGACTGAGAAGCTGAACATGACTGAATAATTTATTGTTCAGACCTTTTTGATCCTGTTAAGATCAAAATGACTGTTTCGGATTAAACTTCATTTACTAATATTGATAAATATCTCTCAGTTGTCTTGTAAATCTTAGAAAGATAACGATTGCTTAATTTTACATTTAAATAGTTTACATTTACTTATGTTTACATTTTAGTAACGATGGCTCAATATCAGTCTCCTAATGCATCGTATCCATCACAACCAGCTGGAAATTATGCACCACCACCAACAGGAAGTTATCCAACTCAACCAACAGGAAACTATCCCCCTCAACCAACAGAAAGTTATCCTTCACAACAAACCGGAAATGATTCATCTAATACCCCATCTGCGCCTGCATTTACTGGCTACACATACAATTCTCCTCCACCAGCCTACACAGATGTTTCAAAAACGTAGATCAATACAAGCATATACATGTATTCAAAATTGTGACCATGAACTCCACTTTGCATTCTTTTTAATGAATAGTCTTTATGTTTTATTTGTATAAGTAATCCAAATCATCTCCACGCTATTGTGTAAGAATATAAACAATTGAATTATGTTAAAAAGCTATAAAGTGTAAAAAGTTGTTTTTAATTATACGCCGTCATGCATTTATTTCATGATGACATATATACATTTAAGTTAAAGAGCAAGCATTTATTAAACCTTTGATCTTATAATTTTATATGCAGTTAATTAAAATAAAGTCAAAATACAGGCGTTAATTATATTCTAAGTGTAAAAAATTCTATTGAAGTCTTTTGAAAACTTAATTATATTAGTTAACCCGGTTGTCAATTACGATTTGTTTTAGCCATGTTCAGATTTTATGTTGTCTTATTTTTCTTATTCATATTGATAGTAACTTCGTATCTCATGCAAACTGCGGATATGTGTTTAACAGTTATGAATTGCCTTTCATGGAAACTGTAAGTTAAAAATTCGGACAAATTAATCGACATTTAAAAAAAAAAAAAATAGCAGATACCTAGATGATGTACTTACTGTTGATAATCCCAAGTTCATTATACATGCTAGATAGATTTATCCAAAAGATTTAAGCAGAATAAAGCTACTTTTAACAATCAATATTGTCAAATTTGTAACGTAATTGTTTGGTATAACATTTTATAATTTAATTTAAAATATTTAATTTTGCAATCACAAATCCATTTTTTTTTTACAATGATGTTCGTTTTCCCGTATTCTATGCTCCGGAATGTAAGCAGATCATGCGCCGCTAGTGGCATTCGAAGTACAATTCGGTAATCAGTCTCATGTGGTTGTAACGGGGTATTTACTCAGTCAAAAACAATAAACGATTGTATACGAGTTTGTTTCTTTTAATACACAATGTTTTGACCCTTTAACATATAAAATAACAAATAATAGATATTCACATGACAAGACAGTACATGTAACATAAACTGGAAAAGGGGAATAACTAATCATTCCTATCAAATATCTATATATTCAAACAAGCCCTTTAAGCACAAAAATCTAAGTCGTTAGTTAACCTTCCAATACAATATTCACATGTATCTCATCATAATAACTAATTATGTACATTTCGAATCTCTTAATATCAATTTTATAAATGAATTTGTATACAAATATAAATAAGAAGATGTGGTATGAGTGCCAATGAGACAACTCTCCATCCAAGTCACAATGTATAAAAAGTAAACAATTATAGGTGAAAGTACGGCATACAACAGCATACAAATTCTGATCAACATAAAAATATCACATAAACTACACTTCACATAAACAGAAAATTACTTAAATAAAACAAGACAGCACAGACATAAACAACATAGAACACAATGGCTACCATGTATATGGTACATAGGTCAGTGTATTGATTTCGAAATATCACAGTGCTGTGTGTAATTACATGAGCATTACTCAAGGTACATGTATTCCATATCCTGAATAGATAATAATATAACATTCACAAGTCTGGAAACTACGATGTGACTATTTCCTCAATTCAACAAAATACACAACTACAATTAAAATATGTAGTTTCAGAGTTGAGTCTTTATTATTCAATTACCAATTTTATCTATCTATGACTTTTAATGTAACTTTATAACATTTATAAGTACTAAAAAGTTTTATATTAAAAGTTGTAATATGACTCTGTGTTATTCTTTTACTCTTTCATACTCCAAATATTCCTCCATTCAATACATTCATTCAATCCTTTCACAAAGTATTAAAAAGACATACTGATTATTTGAATATAACTAGTAAGTTTATCAAGCAGGTAATTTTTCAATATTGCATTCCAATATGTGTGCAGTCTTAATTTACCAGAAACAAAGAAAGTTTATAGTAAGGCCTTTGACCCAAAGATTGACCAATCAAAATCTTAGAATTTTCCTTCCAAAATGATATAAAAGAAAAGAGGTTCACCAAAGAGAAAAGAAAATCACAAAAGAACAACAGTACGAGAAAAGAGACAATGAGTAACTAAAATATCAAATACTGCAATAATATTAATTATTAACCATTCCTAAAATAGTGATTATGACAACATCATATTTAATATATCGATCAAATATGACTGCCACAAACTCCCCCTTGATGTAAAATGACATCCCGGTCTTTTACAAGAGGGAACTACACATGTAAATATAGAAATATCAATGATACGAAAGATATTTCTGAAATAGATATGATAAAATACTAATTATTAGTAATGACTGTGAGTAGTAACTCGCCTGTGTGTCATTCTAATCTTGCAAATAAATTATGTCGCAAACAATCATATATAAAATTAGCCTTTTTCCCACTGTTGCAGTAAAGGAACAGCAACCAGGTGAACAAACTCACCTGAGCGCATCCACCCTGGTTCAAGACAAATACGTGTTGAATGTCTAGACACAGGTGTTACAACTGGTTCCGAGTGTGTCTGCACCTCATCCTGACTATCACCAGAAGCGCTTCCAACGGTACTCTTAACATCAGAATCATCTCCACTGTCACCAGTTGCAGTTGAGTGGGCGTCCCCATCTAATTCTGTGTCATCATCTTTTACTGGAGTGTCCATATCTTGTAGAGTAGGGTCAGTATGATACTGTGGAATATCATAATATAATCTAAGTACAACTAACTCCTCATCACTACTCTCATAATCAGATGGCTCTGGTGAAGGCTTTTCTATCCGTTGTCTCAATCTAGTTCTAGGAAGTGGTACTGGTCTGGGTAGTGGTTCTGACTTTCTCTGAGTGATGTAATCTACAGGCAAAAGAAGATTTCTATGAAGTGTGCGTCTACGGCTCTCTCCGTTCTCCTTCCGTACAATGTAAACTGGCACATAACGGTGGGGTTGATATATTATGAATTAAGCATCGTCTTCCAAACGGTTAGCTATCTTATGTTTTCATTCATATGATACCACTTTCACCAAAACTCCGTCTCCAATCTATAAAGTTTTAGATAACGGCCTATCTTCTGCTTCTCTCTGGCTCTCTCTGCAGCCTTGGATGCTAACTCATAGGCTTTAACGAGGTACTTCGTTATTTCCTGTATGTACTTGGACTGGGGCTGTCTGACTGTGACTGTGGTCATTCCAAAGGCTTTATCTATATGCAAGTTAAGTTCTATACCAAACATCAAAACATAAAGTGAATGGCTGGTGGTTTCATTGCGGGTACAGTTGTAAGCATGTACAGTTGGAGCAACATGAGTCTTCTTGTTTATCTTCTTGTGTGGCTATATGTTACGCAACATGCCATGTTAAGTCCTGTTGAACTTCTCAGTCATGCCATTAACCATGGGGTGATAAAGTGTTGTCCTTGATTTCTATACTCCAAGTAGCTGACAGAGGTCCTCAATCACCGTGCTCTCAAACTTGCCTCCTTGGTCTGAGTGCAATCTCTGTGGAATTCCATAATGCACTATTAAGCTGTTAAACAGAGCCTCTGCCATTGTTAGGGCGGTCTGGTTCCTTGTTGGTACAGCTTGAGCATAGCGTGTGTAGTAGTCAGTAATTACAAGGATATTCTGTATGCCTCCTTTAGATGGTTCCAAAGTCAAAAAGTCCAAACACACCAACTCCGTAGGCTGTGATGATAAGATATTGATCAATGGAGCTCTGAGTGGGTCTTTCTTTCTCTTGAGACATCTGTCGCATTGGTTGATTCATTCATCAATATCCTTGGTCATGGTTGGTCAGCAAAATATATCTCGCACTAAGCTTTTTCTAGGTTAAGGTCCTGACTTCACAAAGTCAATCCAAGACTTAGGATTTGTATCTGACTGTTGAACTTTAGCCCAATCAATTTGATGCTTTACTGGCATGTGCAGGTCAATGTTCAAGGTGTTGATAACATCTGGTTCAACAACTAAAATGTCCAAATATGGTGTTCCTATGGTTAAACAAATTGCCTTGATACTGTCCATAGATAGAGTAGCTTCCTGTGCTGATGGTAATCTGGAAAGTGCATCATCATTGTTGTTAGTCTTTCCTGACCTGTATGCTTTGACAAAATCATATGCCACAAGTACTGATAACCATCTATGGCCTGTTGCATCCAGCTTCGCTGATGTAGCACATAAGTCAAAGGGTTGTTATCTGTTACCACATCTGTTCATATGCTAGTCGCTGTGGCATTCTTGCGTGATGCGTTGGTAAGTAGCTGGTGAATTTATCAAACCAAATGGCATGCGGTTGTACTGATACAATCCAAGCGGACCTACAGTAAATGCTGTTCTTTATTTATGCGCTTCTAGTATCTCAACTTGAGGGTAACCACTTTTCATGTCGATGACTGTAAAGCGATCCAGAATGTCTTTTATACGAGGTAAAGCATAGGCGTCTTTTTTGTATGGTTGTTAAGTTGGCAAAAATCCATACACATTCGTAGAGAGCCATCTTACCTCTTGACGAGTACTTCGGATGAAAATGGGCTATGCGACTTCCTAATAATCCCTGCTCGCAATAACTGGTGAATGTGAGCATTTACTTTCTAATACATGAATGGCGATATGCGTCTATCTCTCTGATTAAAAGATGGTTATCGTCAAGTTTAATCTCATGTTTGACCAGATGTGTATGTCCAACATCAATATCGTTCTTGGAAAAGATGTCGCTGTATGATGTTATAAACTTCTTTGCTTTCTCAAGTTCATGAGATACTAGTAACAAGTTCTTTACATTAATCTTTACTTGTTCCAAAAGTGGTTTATGTAATTCAGCAATCACTGACTTCTGATTATTTACTAAGAATGGCGCAATATCCAGGTTATGTGGTTTGACAGACTGAAATGTTGGTTGAACCATGGCTGATGTTAAATGGTATGGTATAGCTTAGTCGATGAAACCAGTTATGCATATGTTGGAATTTGGTGGTATGGTAGTTATCGGTCTCTGTTCTGCATTTTTTATGACTGCCAATTGATTCTTGTTCCTTTGTAGCGCCTTTTCTCCTAAAGTAATACAGCGAAATGATGTATACCATGGTGTGGTGAACTTCTGCAGACTGTAAAAATTTATTTCCATATCGTTGACGGCAAATATCCATGTTGTTTGTTAGTAAGTTGGTACCAAGTAGGCGTGATACAGTTGAATTGTAATCACTGTCAGGAACAACCAAAAATATACAAGTGTGGTGTTTGATGTATAATTCCACTTCTATATATTTTATTAGTTGACTGTCTGTATCGGTATATGTTGAAGATGCTGATTGTAGAATTCTGACTTACTGTGGAAACTGTTATCCAGTGTCTAATGAAGTTGTTGTTCCAAATTAACTGTTGTTTCAGCCGGCGAACCACAGAGTCCAGGTGGCATCTTGTTAATTGCAGTACTTCTCCAAATCATCTGTATGGGGCTGCTATCATAATTGTCTACATCCTGCTCCTTGGCGTTTAAAAGCTGAAAATAAGTTGGCTTATCGGCATATCATCTGGCAAAATGTTCCTCTTGACCACACTTTCTACAGTATATAGGTCACTGTTTCTCACATTCAGGTTGCTGTCTCTCATATGCAGGTTGCTGTCTCTCATATGCGGGTTGGTGTCTCTCAGATTTCCGACCATTCCATCTGCCCTTTGTATACTTTCCTTGGTAATTACCCTTTGACTTCCTCTATAGTTGCTACCTCTAAAGTTTCCGCTGTAACCTGTACCTCTACTTTGTCCTTGGTACTGGTTTTGATGATGTTGTTGCAATTCCAGTTTCAAGTCGATCTAATCTTAATGTAATGACATTCGTCAATCTTTTAACGCCGTCCTCTTGTTCATCTTCATTATTCTTGGTGAAAGCCATCATTGATGTTCCTTTTGTGGTCTTAAATGTAGTTATATCTAAAATGTTCTCCTTCTTTTGAAGGCAACACATAAAGCATCAAAGATGGTATACTTTTCCTTCTCATAGTCACTTATAGCATTCAAAGTATGGCGCATGCCTTTCCACAACATATCATGTAGCATTTTAACTGCATCGGATCTTTTAACCTATTCTGTCTGTATAGCCTTCTCTAATATGTCTTCCAATCTACAACACCATGCTGTTACTGTGAATCTTCATATTCATGTTTGGCGGCATTGTAGAATTCTTGCATGACAGATTCCTTCTCCTTTACTACACCAAATACGCTGTCCATCTCCTGTTATATTGCTGATACTTCTGCATGTGGACCAATAAATATCACTACTGTCCCTGCTGGATCCTTTAATTATCTCCTTACTGACTGAGTTAGCAGTTGTGGGTTTTGTCGTTGATAAGACATACTAGCTCGTATCTTCTCCACTTTCTCACTCATACTTACCCGAAAAGTAAGGTAGTCTCGGTGGGTTGGTATAAGCAGATGTTGGTTTTATTCATTTTATTTTCCTTTATTAATGATTGCATCAAATCTTTTATATTCTGTGGTATGACGGAAGACGGGTTTTCTTCTAATGTTTGCAGTGCCTTAACAAGATCCTCCAATCCTCACTTTATATGTATATATGTCATGTTCTATATATAATTCATAGTTTCGTACAAGAATAATGTAAATTGTAAATAAAGAACTCACTAAATTCAGTCAAAGAAAGAATCAACATCAAGTGCCTGAAATAAAAAAAACCAAAAAAAAACAATGAAATACTAATGATATTTATAAAGTATCAACAATGTAAGAAATTATA